TTGAGACAGGGTCTCGCTGTGCAGTTCAGGCTGGCCGTGAGCTCATTTTGTAGCCCAGGCTGGTCTTGGGCTCCAGAGTGCTGGGATTACAGGCATTCGCCACCACGCCTGGCACTAAGTGGTATTTAAAGCAATGTTATACTCTTTTTTTTTTAGGCAGGGTCTTGCTTTGTAGTTCAAACTGGCCTTGAATTCACTAGGTCACCCAGCCTCGTTGAAACTTGTAATAATCCTCCTGCCTCAGCCTCCCAACTGTTTAAATTACATAAGTGCACCACCATATCCGGCTATTTCAATTATTATTATTAATCTTGGTACCGGGAATCGAACTCAGGACCTTGCACTTGCCAGGCAGGCGCTGTGCCGCTGACCTCTATCCCCGGCCCTATTTCAATTGTTCTAAATGCAACATTTTAGGTCAGGTGTGATGGCCCACCCTGTAATCCCAGCACTCTGAGAGGCTGAGACAGGAGGATTTCAAATTCGAGTCCCAGCTGGCAAACTTGGGAAACTGTCTCAAAAAAGAAAAAGGGGCTGGGATGTAGCTCTGTGATAAAGGGTCCCTGGGTTTGATCCTCACTACCAAGAAAACAAAACCAAACCCGAGTGACTAGGGATCCTGAACCTGGGATGGGGTCAGAAATTTTTTAAAAAGGTAGTCATGGGTAAGAAGACCGGGGAAGCCATTTCAGGAAGAGACTGAGTCTCCATCACTGGGGTGCTGGGGCTCGAACTCGGCCTCTCGCATGCTAAGCAAGCGCTCTACCGTCGAGCCACGCTACGCCGCAGAGAATGCGGCTCCTTATGGAACAACAACAACAAAAGGAATCTCACGAGGTGCTGTGACGCTCGCACGGGAACCTCAAAGCTAAAAACCCTACCACACCACTTTAAGGTCTTCTGGTTAGCGACAGTTTAGCGGGAAAAAAGAGGACGCAAGCAAAGGAAGTGACATAGGGAGTCGCTCACATGACGTGAGACGGCAAATCCTGCGGGAGGATTGCTTTGATTGGTTGTTTTCTTGAGCTAGGGTCCTATCAGCTCGCCTAATCTCCGCTTTTCGCCTGCGCATCGGGTTTTGCCCTTAGTAAAGATGGCGCAGGGCTTCCAGCTTTACTTGGGGCACGCGCGTTTTCGGCAGTGTGGCCACAGGAGACAGGAAAAACACCGTAGGATTCGTGAGCGTTGATTGGCTGAAGCCGGAAGCGTGCGCTGACTGGCTCCGTCCTTCGCGGGAAGTAGTTTGTGGCGCCAGAAGAAAGTGGATACGACGGAGGAGCGGCGACGGGATTCTGAGGGGTCCTGCGAGCCTGTCGTTCTGGAACCTTCTGGCCCTCCTTTCCCAAGACAGTCGCGACCAAGATGTGGAGTAGTAAGGAGGGGTGGGAGGGGCGCGGAGGAGGAAGTGGCCGGAGGATTGAGCGCGCCCGGGGTGCGAAGGCGTGCGGCGGCCGGGGCGAGGGCGGAGGTGGCGGCGGTAGGGGTCCGCGAGGGAGCTGGGAAGACTGGGGAGACGGGGCCAGTGTTGGGGCGCACGGGGTCTCAGGGCACCTGCGGACTCCTCAAGGGCTCGGAGGGCAGCGCAGACGCTAACGCTGTTGTTCAAAACAGGTGGCTATGAAAGCTACAGCACCGCCAGCTACGGAGGAGGCGGCAGCTACACGCAGACCCCGGGGGGCTTCGGGTCGCCAACACCTTCCCAGGCCGAGAGGAAATCGGTGGGTTGACAGACTCGGGTTTGGTTTGGTTTCGCTTTCTCCGGGGCTGAAACGCTGGACTCGTCCAACGGAGAAAACGTTTGAGGCGAGGGAAGGGTGTTAGGCATGAACTGGCTAGTAAGCTATTGGTTGTTTTCCGTGTCTCTTTAAATGTGTAAGTGGTGTCGGTTTTATTTATTTTTTTGTCTTTTTGAGACAGGGTCTCGCTGTGCAGTTGAGGCAGGCCTTGAGCTCACTTTGTAGCCCAGGCTGGTCTCGAACTCGCAACGATCCTCCTGCCTCAGCCTCCTGAGTGCTGGGATTGCAGGCGTGCGCCAGCATGCCCGGCTGTGCTGTTGATTTTAAAAACGAAATCTTCCTTAATTTTGCACCCCCTGTTTCCTCGGCTTTGTTCTGAAATTTCTCATAGCTATTGAATTAGTCTGGTGGGAAAACTTTGAACTTGTATTCATAGCCTGTTTTATATCCCTATATTTAAAGTTGTTTTCTGATTAAACGTAGTGAGGCAACATAATGCAGTGGGAAAATGTGGTTTGTTTTGTTTTTGAGACAGGGTCTGGCTTTGTAGTTCAGGCTGGCCTTGAACTCACAGTGATCCTCCTGCCTCAGCCTCCTGAGTGCTAGGATTACAGGCACCACCAAGCCCAGTAAAAGTGTGATTTTGCTGATACTTGTTTTCACGATTTCTTCAGACACATTTCTTAACCTTCTTGGTTATCTTAAACTAGATGGGGTTAATATATAACTTACAAGGATGTTGTGAGACTTAATGCTAAATGCAAAGTGCCTGCTCTGTAGTCACTTTTCATCCAGTTCTGATACTACCTTTAAAAGAACACGGAGTTTGGAGCCAGAATATATAGACCCAAGATTTAACATTGCCTTTTTTCCCCCCTGTGGACCTAGGTGCAACTCAAGGCCTCATTACCAATGAGCTACATTCTCAGCCCTTTTTTTATTTTGAGATAGAACCTTGCTATGTTGTCTAGGTTACCCTTGAACTTGTGACCCTCCTGCTTCATCCTGCTGGGGAGCTAAGGTTACAGGTGCACATCACCACACCCAGCTTACTTTTACTTTATAACTGACATTAGTTAGCAATTTGAAGCCTGTGACCCTTCAGTTTTCTCTCTGATGATAGTGCTGGTACTGCTCATAACACAGGATACTTGTTGAAATTGATAAATAAGGGACTGTGAGAAAGTAATCTTCAGAAAGTTGTGTGTTTATTTGCTTTTTTAGAGGTGAGTTTGCACTTAACAGTTGCTGTTCATTTCATCCTCTAACTGCAGGATTAATTGGGCTTCCCTTTAGGTGCCACTCAGATACGTTGCGTAAGATTCAGTAGGTTTGGTGTAGGGGATGTAAGCCTTTCCTTAAAACTCTTAATCCAGGGGCTGGGGATTTAGCTCAGCAGCATAGCGCCTGCCTGGCAAGTACAGGGTCATGAGTTCGATTCCTGGTACTGGAAGAAAAACAAACAAACAAAAAAATACAACAACAAAACTCTTAATCCAGGTGTGTGTTGGTGTGGAAAAAATGCCATCGTTAAATCCTATACATTTGGATACTGCCTTACATTTTTCACAGGTTATTTCATATAGTCCTGTACCATTGCTTATTCCAGCTTACAGCAGAGGCTAAGGTGTAGTTAGGGACTAAGCTTACGTAGCTAGTAAGTAACTAGAACCAGATGGTGCATACATGATGCCAAGCAAATCTAAAATCTCTTGAGCAGCTGCTTCTCTCTTCTGTCTCTTGTAGTGTGCTTTTTTTTCCTTTTTTTGTTTTTTTTCCATGCTTGCCAGGCAGGTGCTGTGTACTGAGCTAAATCCCCAGCCCCTAGTGTGCTTTTTTTTCCCCTGAAAAATCCACAGGGAACTTTAAGCTTCCCTCCCCTCCTTTCCCTTCCCCTCTCCCTCTCTTCTGTCTCTTTGTCTCTGTCTGTCTGTCTGTCTCCTCTGTCTTCTGCCTGCCTCTGTCTCTGTCTGTCTCTGTCTCTGTCTCTGTCTGTCTGTCTGTCTCTCTCTCTGTCTCTCTGTGTAGTGCTGGAGCTGTACCCCCAGCCCCTAGCACTTTGAATATCTAACTATATCTTTCCTGAGGTTGTGAAGGAAAAAACAGGAAATATAAATTCTCATCTTTTCTTCCCTAACTACTTTTCTCCATTCTGATTATTTTTACCTGAGAATCCTGAGCCTGAACTGTGTATTAAAATAGTTTTTCAGAGAACAACGATGATTATAAACTGGAGGTTTATCTCCAAAATGATATAGGAGAAAAAACTCCCAACCTGAACAATGTCTGGGACAAGTTTATGTTCACTAAAATCAAAGAATGAATTTTAGGAACAATGGAGGTTAAGAGCAGAACATATTAATTGAGGGAAAGAAAGCTCCTGTCAGAGAGGGACAGAAGGGGGCCCTGAATGGGTTGCCCCTAAAATGTTTCCTCTTGATATAAATATTTGGTTGAAATTTCCAAAATTGTGAAATTTATCTATACAAGCAATGATTTCAGGGCTGGGGTTTTAGCTCAGTGGCACAGCGCCTGCCTGGCAAGCGCGAGGTCGTGAGTTCGATTCCTGGTACCGGGAAAAAAAAACAAAAAAAACCCAAGCAGTGATTTCATAAGAGTACTGTCACAGTAGCCTGTGGTTCATATTCAGCTATGAATATTATAATTTTTTTCAAAAGTAGAACACTTGAGCAGGTACACTCTATGAACCTCTTTGGAACAAACCAGGGGTTCCTTGTGATTCTTTCCTGGCTCAATAAAAAACAAAAAATGCCTGATTTGGGATGAATTTGAAAGCACTATTGACGGCGCAATTATTATTGACTACACAGTGCCTGCAGAGACTGGTGTTTGCAGTTTATATACATTGTGTGTTTCAATTCAAACGTGAAAGGCAGCTGTCCTCAGCTTTTCAGAAAAGGTGGTAGCACGTCCAGGGCTGAGGAGCTGGGATTTGAGTGCAGGTCTGCGGGTCTGTGTGGCTCCAGACCCCTTGTTCTTCTTTCTTACCATAGTCTTGGTTTGTGGCAGAATCTCACCTGTGATAGGTAAAAACAGTGCTGTAGGTTGTAAGAGGCAAATTCTGTGACCTGCAAAATTTGGATCTGTAAATACGATGGAGCAGGAACTTCACCTATAAATTACCACAGGGTATGGTGCAGTCTGTGTGGATGCAGTGAGCCTTCCCCACAGGGCCCAGCTCTGTGCTGCTTCCTGCCCCTTAGCATCTCACTCTGTCCCCTGAACCCCTCTTTCTTCCCATTCCAATGTCTGGGAGCCTGGTCCTGGCTCTGAGATTATCTGGAGTCTGGTGTCGGGGCAGGGATGAGTGCAGCTGTGAGGGTGGCACCAGGAGGTTAAGGGAGGTCAGCTGTGTGCCCCCTTGGGGCACTTCCTTAGCTCCCCTCCCTTGTCCCGGAGTGCGTGGGCAGCTGTGGAGAGGGTGCCAGCTTAGAGCTACAGTCCTCTTTAGAACTTGCTTCCCCCACCATTAGCAGGTGTGTTCCCTTCTAACCTGATCCTGTATCCCAAAATCTTTTTTTTTTTTCTTTTTGGGACAAGGTCTCACTGTGCAGTTTAGGCTGGCTTTGAGCTCACTTTGTAGTCCAGGCTGGTCTTGAATGCACAGCGATCCTCCTGCCTCAGTTTACCGAGTGCTGGGATTACAGGCATGCCCCACCACACCTTGCCCCCTGCATCTTTTATTACATTTGTTCAGTGTGTGTTTGCCAGGATCAAATCCAGGGCATCATGCATGCTATATAGGCCTCTATCTCTGAGCTATATCTCCAGCCTCAAGGGATTTTATTTTTGATGTTGCTTTGTAATTTTAAAAATTTATTTTGGGGGGTTTGTTTTGTTGCTGTTTTGAGACAGAATCTCACTATGTAGTTCAGGCTGGCCTCAAACTCACAGTAATCCTCCTGCCTTAGCCACCTGAGTGCTGGGATTACAAGCATACACCACTATGCAAGCCTCTTTCTTTGTTTTGAGACAGGGTCTAATTACGCCTAGCTTAGTCTCATACTCCTCTTGCATCAGTCTCCTAAGTAGCTGGGGTTGTAGGCACACCACTGTGCCCTATAATTCTTTTTTTTTTTTTCTGTTGCCGTTTTGAGACAGGGTTTCACTGTGCAGTTCAGGCTGACCTTGAACTCTGTAGCCCAGGTGGGTCTTGAACTCACAGCAGTCTTCTTATCTCAGCCTCCCAAGTGCTGGGATTACAGGCATGTGCCACCATGCCCAACTTTTTCTTCTTTTTTTTTTTTTTTTTTTTTTTTTTTTTTTTTGCCTTCCCTTAAAAAAAATTTGTTTTATCATTCATTATATGTTAAACAACTGTAAAGTAAAGTAGGGTACTGTAAAATAACATGGAAAGGCATAGCTGAGCCCTTCATATCCTTGTTAAAAGCTATTGCAGACATAAAAGAATGGGGAGCACCAGCTAACCTAGTGTTGAGCAGTTGCTAGCATTTGAGTGCTTACTGTGTGCCAATTTGAGTGCTCTATTGTGTTGTCCTTTTGGTTTTGGCTTTTGGCTTTTGGTGCTGGGGGTTGAACCCAGGGCCCTGCGGCTGAGCTATACCTCCAGCCCTTTTTAGTTATTATTTTTGAGACTGGATCTCACTAATTTGCCCAGGCTAGGCTTGAACTTGCAATAGTCCTGCCTCAGTCTCCCAAAATGCTGGAATTACAGACATGTGCCACCCACCCAGCTTTATGTAGCTGTCTTAATATTGATTGTTTCATTCCTGATGTCATATATGAGGAAACTGAGGTGGAGATGAGTTGAGCACACTGCTCCTGGGGTCGGGGTCACAAACTCATCCTGGAGCTAAGCTGCTTCCTTTGGTGGTGAGCATGCTGGGGGTTGGCTGAACTTAATTTATACTGTTCTGCCAGTTCTTGTCATTCAGAATTATGCTTCAAAAAGTGAAGTATCATCACTATGACAGATCTTTAGGCCAACGTTGTGACTGTTAAATCCTTGAAGGTCACAAGTCTGCTATGTTCTAGGTGTTATGTGTAAACAGGTCCTGTGTTCCTTCCTTTGATGTCTGACAGGAAGAACTCTGTGCTTGTCTGTGAGACTGTGGGAATGTATGCTCTGTTTGTTAGGGTGTGTTGAAGGCAAATAGTTTCTTACTCATCTCTGTTTTACCCAGACTGTGCCTTGCCAGGGATAGGTAAAATGAGAGGTTGCCGTTGTTGTCAGGCTAATTTAGAATGTGATTTGAGTGTCCCCTCCCCCGCCAGATGCTCTTCTGCTCAATTCATCTGTTCCTTCCCATTAAAATGTCAGTGACTAAGCTCTTACCCCATTTTCCCCAGGAACTCATCCATTTGTCAGAACATCTGTCCTAAAAGAAGCTATACTTTCTAGGAGACCTAGAGAAGCTCCAGAATCCTATGTCTGCTTGCCATTTGGGAAACCCTTTCCCTGTACCATCTCATCCCATTAGTGTTCCAACGGCCTGCCCTTCTCCCACAGCTGGGGCTTCCTCCTAAGGGTCTGTTCCGGCAGCAGCTCACCCTTCCTTACCTGTCTCTGCTTTGGCCCCCATGTTTGGGTGAATCCCCAATCTAGTACAGACTTCCCACTCAGCAGGAGCTCTAGAGTCAGGTGAACCTGGGCTTGACTTTATTATTTTTCTTTCTTTCTTTTCTTTGTTTTTTTTTTTTTGTTGTTGTTGTTTTGTTTTGTGTATTTGAGACAGGGTGACAGGGTCTCTCTATGCAGTTCAGGCTGGCCTTGAGCTCACTTTGTAGCCCAGGCTGGTCTCGAACTTGCAGTGATCCTCCTGCCTCAGCCTCCCAAGTGCTGGGATTACAGGCATGTGCCACCATGCCCGGCGCTGGGCTTGACTTTAAATGTGTGGCATTTGTTAGCTTTATGACCTGGGTTTCACTCTTGTGAAGCAAGGACAATGAGGTTTGTTTGGAAATTTCAGTGTTCTAATATATTTAAAGTGCTTGGCACATGGCAAGTATTAAATGAATTATTATTTTCTGAGTTGACTTTATGCATACCTTTTCTCTTCAGAGAGCCCGAGCCCAGTACATTGTACCCTGTACTATATCTCAGCTACTTTCTGCTACTCTGGTTGATGAGGTGTTCAAAATTGGGAATGTTGAGATTTCACAGGTATGTAGAAGAATTTATCGGAGCGTCACTTAATCATAAGATGTGGTGTACTTAAAAGTACATAAATGTTGCTTTAGTTTTCAGGATAACCAAGCCTTATTATTTTCCCAACCTAGGTCACTATTGTGGGGATAATCAGACACGCAGAGAAGGCTCCAACCAACATTGTTTACAAAATAGATGACATGACAGCTGCACCCATGGATGTCCGCCAGTGGGTTGACACAGATGTGAGTGGCTATTTTTGAATTGGGGTGGGGTTACTTTGGGAATTTGGAGATGGCAAACTTTTTTAATCTTACCTTTTAGAGGTTTGTGTTACATTAAAATAATTCATAAGATACTATTGCCGGGCATGGTGGCGCACACCTGTAATCCTAGCACTCGGCAGACTGAGGCAGGAGGATCATTGCAAGTTCGAGACCAGCCTGGGCTACAAAGTGAGCTCATGACCGGCCTGAACTGCACAGCGAGACCCTGTCTCAAAAAGACAAAAAAAAAAAAAAGATAGCAAAGGCAAACTAGGCGTGGTGGTGCACACGTGCAATCCCCGCACTGGTGGGGGGCTGAGGTGTAGGAAGATCACTGAGAGTTTGAGGACAGCCTGGACTACATGGTGAAACCCAGTCTCAAAAAAGAAAAATCAAAGGCAGAAGCTTTAAAATGAAAGGTTAATAGACTTGGCTACATACAAATTTAAAACTTTCTAAACTTCCTAAAATATTGCAAACAATTAAAAGTTAGGTAACAAGAGACAGTATAGTATAAATTCCATGAGAAAGGTTTGCATGTGTGGGTACACACGTTTTTATGTGTGGGTATTGCTGGGGATTGAACCCCGAGATGCTCTACCATGAAGCTAAACCTAGTTCTTGTTTGTTCAATTTTTTTCATTTTTAGTCAGTATTTCACTGAGTTGACTGGGCTGGCCACAAAAAAACTTGAAATTGTCTGCCTCAGCCTCTTCAGTAGCTGGGATTACAAGCAAGTGTGACCACGCCAGGCATAAGGAGGATTTTTATGTCTTGCACACCTCTTTCTCTGTAGCACTAGGACTATGCCAGTCACGAAGTGGACCTTAAGTAAATATTTTTTAATGAATGTGAAGAAGATTTGCATATATTACAAACTTGTTAATTTTTAATACTTAAAAAATCTCTACAAAGCCAAAAAAAAAAAAAGTGCTGGACATGGTGGCACACCCCTGTAATCCCAGCACTTAGGAGGCTGAGGCAAGAAGGTTGTTGTGAGTTCAAGACCAGCCTGGGCTACAAAGTGAGCTCGAGGCCAGCCTGAACTGCACAGCAAGACCCTGTCTCTAAAAGAGTTTCACCATGTTCGAGGCTGGCCTCGAACTCACAATGATCCTCCTGCCTCAGCCTCCTGAGTGCTGGGATTACAGGCATGCACCACCATCATGCCTGGCTTTGTTCTGAAATTTCATACGATTGTTTTTATTTATTTTTCTTTTCCTTAAAAAAAAAAAAAAAAGACCTAAGTATGAATGACAGTCACAGTAACAAAAGCATAATTAGCAAGGAGGGAGATTCCATTTTCAGTTTGTATTGTTGGCACATTAAAAGTAATGATGCGGGCTGGGGACTTAGCTCAGCGGCAAAAGCACCTGCCTGGCAAGTGCAAGGTCGTGAGTTCGGTTCCTGGTACCGGAGAAAAACAACAAAAAAAAAAAAAGTAATGATGCTTCTTAGTTGTGGTAAGAGTTGACAGCTTGCACAGTGCCTCTACCTTAGAGTGCCCTCAGTAAACGTGTAGAGTGGCTTGTCACTGTTTTTCTAAGGAAGTGGATGCCATACTACCTTGACAATAGTAGTGTAAACTGGTGTAACTCCTCAGAAGTCATTCTTTACCAAAATCATCAATCATAACAATGCTGACCAACAGCTCCACTGCTGGGGAATTAGCACTTCTACTTTATAACTAGCTTTGTATATGTAATTTAGACATTTTAGTGTGGCTTTTGCCAGCATCATAAAGACCTAATGGCGTGTTTGTATTTTATCTGTTAGGACACCAGTGGAGAAAACACCGTGGTCCCTCCAGAAACGTATGTGAAGGTGGCCGGCCACCTGAGGTCCTTTCAGGTAAAGTCTGTAAAATGCCAGACAGAATGTATTTGCATGAAGCAGTCTCTGAATTCAAGTCTGGGTCTAGGATAACTAATGATTAACCCTCTATATTTAATGGGAAGTTATTTCCTTATCCTCTAATTCAACAGGAAGTAACTGGTTTTTATCTTAATAGAAAAGCAGGGTTGGGGATGTAGCTCAGTGGTAGAGTGCTTGCCTGACATGCACAAGGCCCTGAGTTCAATCCCCAGTACCACCAAAAAAAAAAAAATCCTTAAAAAGAAAAGAAAAGTAACAGCTGGGCATGGTAGAGCATACTGCTAATCCGCAGACTCTTGTTTTGCTTTTTTCGTATTTTTGGTACCGGGACTCGAACTCAGGACCTTGGGCTTGCCAGGTAGGCGCTTATGCCACTGACCTATATCCCTGGCCCTAATCCCCAGACTCTGGAGGCGGAAGTAGGGGGATCACCATGAGTTCCAGGCCAGCCTGAACAACAAAGTGAGACCGTGTCTCAAAAAACAAATTAAAAAAGGGCAGCCCATTTGGGAACCCTCCTGTCTCTCAAGAGCTATTCCTATTCTCCATTCCAATTCTCTAATAAATTTTCCTATTCTTAACCTCCATTATAGCCAGGTGTGGTGGCGCACACCTGTAATCCCAGCAGTTGGGAGGTTGAGGCAGAGGATTGCTGTGAGCTCAGGGCCAGCCTTGAACCACAGAACTATATAGTGAAACGCTGTCTCAAAAAGGCAAAAAAAAAAAAAGTAACAGAATGATAGAAAAAGAAGAAAATCTCTACCTACAGTTGACAAATGTGGCATTGGTGAGAGGTAGAAGGGAGAACACTGGATTCAGAGTCAGGAAGGTAGACCCTGCTTGGATTTGCCATTTTGCTCTATTTGTTTTTTGCTTGGTTTTGTAGCCTTGAACAAATCATGGATATCTGAGCTAGTTTGCTTCTTTCCTTCATTGTTGACTACACTTGGATTACCCCGAGTTAAAATTTTAGATACAGGGCCTGAGGATTTGGTTCAGCGGCACAGCGCTTGCCTGGCAAGTGCGAGGTCATGAGTTGGATTCCCAGTACTGGAAAAAAAAAACCAAACCAAAACAGCAACAACGAAATTTTAGCTACATAGCAGATATTTTCCTCATATTGGCAAAATAGAACCTAGAAAAGAGTCACAGTGTTTTGACTTGAATCTGCTCATCCTTTATTTGTGTTTTCTTCTTTACTTTAATAGAACAAAAAGAGCTTGGTAGCCTTTAAGATCATGCCCCTGGAGGATATGAATGAGTTCACCACACATATTCTGGAAGTAGTCAATGCACACATGATGCTGAGCAAACCCAGCACCCAGGTAAGCGGCGTCAGCTTTTTCCCTTTCCTAGAAAGCGGAGACTGATTCTGTGCTCTGGCTTTGCGTTTTTGGTGTTTTTAAGATTGAGCTGGAAGAAAGGCATCAGTCAGTCTTCAGAACGTTTTTCCATCAACTTCGTATTTCATTCCAGGTGAAGCATTCATGTTTCTCTCAGAATTATGAGTTCCTCTGCATGGTGGTGCACGCCTGTAATCCCAGTACCCAGGAGGCTGAGGCAGGAGAAACACTGAGCTTGAGGCCATCTTGGGCTACATAGTGAGTTCATTGCCAACTTGAACTACATTACAAGACCCTGTCTCAAAACACAAAAAGAAAAAAAGAATCATAAGTTCCTCTGACCCCACTGCCATAGATAGCTGTGCCCTAAGACAACCTTCAGATAGACACATAGGCTGAGGTTGTAGCTCCAGAATTTCCAGCCCATAATCTGAGAAAAATCTCAAGTAGGGCGGCATTTTGGTGCTTTTCTTCCAAGCTGTTGCCTGGTAGGAAAAACTGCACTATTACTTCTCCTTGAAATTATATTTCTTGGTCCATATGAAATTTGCCTGATTTCCTGTAGCGTGAATTCACTTTGGCAGGTCCCCTCTAGGACCACTCAAAGCATCAGTCAGTTGTCGTATGAGAAAGCCCACAGGTGACTCGGGTGGCCTGGTGAAGGGCGGTTGCGGTAGCAGAGGCTGCAGAATGGGTAAGCCGGTAGGAGCGCTGACGCGGCCCACTTGGCACGCACTTGGGAAGGTGTTGAGAACGCAGACGCATTCATTCAGTTCTTTTTTAGAAAAATACTCGTCCAGTCTACTCTGTAGATCACTACTCTAAACCCTTGGAATATAGCAATGAACAAGATAGAGTATCTGCCTTCAAACTGACACTCGGGAGAAGCAGGCAACAAACAAGATGCAGACAAGCAGGCTTGGGGGATGGTACATGGCTGCAGTCCCAGCTGCTGGGGAAGCTGGGGCAGGAGGATGGCAAGTTCGAGCCCAGCCTGGGCAACTTAGCGAGAGACCCTGTCTCGAAATGAAAATAAAAAGGGGCTGGGGATCTAGCTCTGTGTGAAGGCCCTGGTTTCAATCCCCAGTGCTGCCTCCCAAAAAAGAAAAACACCCACTTTCAGGTATTTAGGTGCCCTGAAATAGAGTGGAGAAGAGAGTGATGGCGGGAACAGAATGGTGCGGCTTCGGTGGGGGAGGGCGGGGGGGAGGGGCCAGCCCCAGAGGCTGAGCAAGCTCGGCTCCTCCGAGGCAACAGGAAGCTGCCCAGGGTGGCATCAGACGGGTGACAGGGGGAGTGGAAGAAGGATCCGGGCCCACAGCGCAGAGGGCTTTGTATTCTGATGCTGAGCTTCTGGAAGGTGTCAGTCAGGGGTAATGTCGTCCAGTCTACTGTTTCCTTAACAAGCTCACCAGCTGTGTGGACGGTGTGTTCCGAGGCACCCAGGAGGGCAGCAGAAGTCATGGAGAGGAGTGGCAGCTGCGGCCGGGGAAGAGGGGCTGACTCCGTGTGTTCAGTAGGAGGAGCTGATAGGAGTGATGTGTGGGTTAGGGATAAACGTGGAGGAGAGGGGTTCACAAAGGACTCCTGGGTTCGAGGCTTGAGCAGCCGGATGAAGCAGATCTGGAGGGTAAAATCCAGAACTGTGGTTCAGACCTCACCGCGTAGGAGATGCCACTTAGGCATCCAGTGCGCAGGTGACTGTATCAGGCTGGACCTCGCGGGAGAGGGCAGGCTAGAGGGAGAGCTTTGGCGGTCATTTCTCTGTTGGTGATATTTAAAGCTTTGGACACGGGAGTTCAGAGGCAGAGACCGCAGCGCTGGGACCGAACTTCAGAAGTCTGGAAACAAGAGAAGCACCGCCGAAAGCCAGAGGACTTGCTGGCTAAGCAGGAAGACCAGGGAGCAGGATTTCATAAAATATTTTTTGTCTGGTTGGTTTCTTGTTTTGTTTTGAGACAGTCTTGCCAGGTAACACAGTCTGGCCTCAAACTCATAATCCTCCTGCCTCAATCTCGCTGGAATTACAAGCGTGCTCCAGCACACGCCATACTTACGTCTCTTTTTTTCAGATAGGGTCTGTAGCTGGGCATGGTGGCTCACACCTGTAATCCCAGCACTCAGGAGTTACGCAGGAGGATCATTTTGAGTTAAAGACCAACCTGGACTACAAAGTGAGCTCAAGGCCAGCCTGAACTGCATAGCAAGACCCTGTCTCAAAAAGACAAAAAAAAGAGAGGGAGGGTGTATATAGTGCAGGCCGACCTGAATTCCTGGACTCAGGTCATCGTCTTGCCTCAGTCTGCTGAGCAGCTGGAACTACAAGTATGTGCCATTCCACCTGGCATTGTAGAATGTTCTCTCTCAAGGAGAGAGTGTACTAGGCATGGTGGCGTACTAGGCATGGTGGCGCACGCCTGTAATCCCAGCACTTGGGAGCTGAGGCAGGAGGATCATTGTGAGTTCGAGACCAGCCTGGGCTACAAAGTGAGCTCAAGGCCAGCCTGAACTGCAGAGCGAGACCCTGTCTCAAAAAGATGAAGAAAAAAAAAAGAGCCAGCACATTGGCACACACCTGTGATCCCAGGGAATCGTATAGGATAGTGACGGGGAAACTGCATTGGGAGCTGTGAGGGGATAGGCCAAAGCTGAGAAGGAAGAGAATCACTAACCTGCGTTGGGGAATGTCGGGAGAGACTTCACAAGGCAGTGACTATTAAGTTGGACTTGAAAAGGTGAGGAGAGGATTTACCAGGAAGATGAGGAAAGACTAAGTGCAGCTGGCGAGTAGAGTGTGTGGAGGTAGGCTCAAAAACAAATACCTACCTGGCATGGTAGCCCATGCCTGTAATCCCAGCACTGTGGAGGCTGAGGCAGGAGGATCACCCCAAGTTCAAGGCCAGCCTGAACTATAAAGTGAGACCTTGTCTCTATACAAAACAAAAAATTAAATATAGATTTTGACTTTTGTTTTTACAGTGTATCCTGGGCTAACCTCAGATTCCTAGCAATCCTCCTGGCTCAGCCTCCTGAGTGCTGGGATTACAGGCGTGCACCAGCACGCCTAGCTAAAAGGGTCATTTTTAAACAGTGCAGAAGAAAGGAAGGAAACTGCCTTTTGGATGTATCCAAATAAGCAAACTTTACTTCTGCACTTTTTATGTCAGCTAAGAATTTAGGGCCATTTTGCTCATACAGTGCTTGCATGGGGAGAATCGCCAGTGGAAGTGCAAAAGCTGAGGTGGTCTGTGCAGACAGTGGGCTGCTGGGGATCTCTCCACCACGTCTGACTCTTGTGTAAAGGCAACAGAATAGAGCCTCACTAAATACCAGCCTAAGCAAAGTGGAACAGGAATCTAAAGCTGTCATCCAGCTTGCACAGGAAATCTCTCAGTGTGCACAGCTATGTTTAAGCCTTCCCTTCCCACCCACACACCAAGAGCCTCTTTGCTCTACCAGGGGCAGCTAAGCTGCGTTTAGGTTACCTTGCTATTTTACATTTTCACAGGCAGAGGGAGCCACTTGAGTCTCTTTTAGTAGTGGTGCAGTCCTAGCAGGTTGTGATTTGTTGTAATGGTGGAGGCTGATTGGAGTTCAGGTCACTAGATAAGAGCTGAGGGACCAACTGGAGACCAAGAGTGAGGAGGGTCATCAGGAAACGCTTGAGACCATGGCAGCCAATCTCTGAGTGATTTTCTTAGTGATACTTTCCCCTAGATTTCTCCCATCATACAAAACAAGGAACCAGAAGTACCTTCCTCTTTTTCTTTTTTTCTCTCTTTGAGACAGGGTCTCATTGTGGAGCCCAGGCTGGCCTTAAACTCATGATCCTCTTGCTTCAGCCTCCTGGGTGGATGCAGATTACAGATGCAGGCCATCACGCCTGGCTGTTCCTCTTTTTGACATTATGTGCTTAAGGGGTTACTTTACCTTACTATGAAATTCTGCTGTCCCCTGCCATGTAGGCAGTCATAATAGGAAAACTCTTGGTCTAACTTACTTGTTATCTGCTTTTATGTGTGTATGTATGTATGTCTTTTGATTGGTGTTTTGTTTTGTTTTGTTTTAGTGGGTTTTTTTCCTAGTACCGGGAATCAAACTCACGACCTTGCACTTGCCAGGCAGGTGCTATGCCGCTGAGCTACATCCCCAACTCCGTATGTATGTCTTTTGAGACAGGGTCTCGCTATGCAGCTCAGGCTGGCTTTAAACTCACTTTATAGCCCAGACTGGCCTCGAACTCAAAACGATCCTCCTGCCTCAGCCTCCTGAGTGCTAGGATTACAAGTATGGCTGCCTTTTTTTTTTTTAAAGGAGGAAAGGTTTATTTAACTCACAGTTTGTAGAGGTTTCAGTCCATAATCTGCTGGCTCCACGGCAGAGTGACACATGGCAGAGGGCAACAGTTCATGGCAGGAGAAGATAGCAAGAAGAGAGATTGATTTTTTTTCTTAGCTGCTTATTAGTAATACGTTATTTGAAAAAGCAAAGGCCAGCCTACACCATGTTTAGGTTGGTGAATTTTCTACTGGTATGAACTTATTTCTTAATTTAGCCCTCAGCAGGGAGAGCGTCCATCGGCAACCCAGGAATGGGTGAAACAGGAAACTTCGGTGGAAACAGCTTCATGCCAGCCAACGGCCTCAACGTGACCCAAAACCAGGTAAACTGAGTGGCTCCTTATTGCGAGAGACAGAACGTCCTAACTTCCATCACTTCTTTAATCGTCTAAGACTACTTTAGCACCTGGCTCCTTTCTTTTTCTCATAAAGAGACGCAGCTTTGCAAAGGGGAGTTGACTCAGAGTCATTGCTACAGTCTTTCTAATTTGAATTGTCAGGTGCTGAACTTGATTAAGGCTTGTCCAAGGCCCGAAGGACTGAACTTTCAGGATCTCAGAAACCAGCTCCAACACATGCCTATAGCCACAATCAAGTAAGTTTTTCTTACTATGAGTTGGGTCTTTACAATTATACCTATCAGTCCACTCCTCTGGGGCTTCCTGATAATGAGAATTAAGTTTAAAAGTAAAGCTGTATCTGTTGACAGGGGAAGTTGTTCGGGAACATTTAAAAGGACTCAAAAGATGGTGCTGTGCATCACACCCCTCATTCATTTGCTCATTCCACAAATACTCAGGCCCGTCACGTGTGGAGGATGTGATTCTCAACAGAAATTGCCCTCAGACCTCGTGGGTTCTGGTCTGGAGGGCTGAGCCCCCGGCTTCTGGCCCTTGTGTGTGTCGTCCTGTTCGTGTTGCTCTCTCCACTATAGACAGAAATGCATCAGGCTCTTTGGATCTGAAGCCATTAGGCCAGGCTTACAGCCTTGGCCTGATTCTATCCCAGTGGAACACAGTAATTAAACAAACTCAGTATGGTGATACATGTGATAGCTGTTACTGGAAATCAGTTGATATTCTAGGTCTAGGTAGAAAAGAAATGCTCAAGTCTTTCCAGTTCCTGTCCTATAAAGGGAGGATAATGATTTCTATCGCAGAGTTACTGTGTTGCTAAGGTACTGAACGGCACCATGTAGTAGGGTTTTGGCTGTTAGTATACATGCTGCTGGCGCTGACCCTGAGAAAGAATTTGAAGGTGGCATACTGTTTCTGAAATAGTTTTCCTTTACTTCCTGAAAACTAACTGCCCAGGGTAGAGCAAAGAGGCTCTTGGTGTGTGGGTGGGAAGGGAAGGCTTAAACATAGCTGTGCACACTGAGAGATTTCCTGTGCAAGCTGGATGACAGCTTTAGATTCCTGTTCCACATTGCTTAGGCTGGTATTTAGTGAGGCTCTATTTTGTTGCCTTGGGGCTGGGGATTTAGCTCAGAGGCATAGCGCCTGCCTGGCAAGTGCGAGGTTATGAGTTCAATTCCCAGTACCAGAAAACAACAAAAAAAAAAAAAAAAAAAAAATAGAGGGGGCTGGGGATTTAGCTCAGCGGCACAGCACCTGCCTGGCAAGCACAAGGTTGTGACTTTGATTCCTGGTACCGGAAGGAAAAAAACAAACAAAAATAGAATATTTTGTTGCCTTTACACAAGAGTCAGACGTGGTGGAGAGATCCCCAGCAGCCCACTGTCTGCTCAGACAACCTCAGCTTTTGCACTTCCACTGGCGATTCTCCCCGTGCAAGCACTGTGTGAGCAAAATGGCCCTAAATTCTTAGCTGACATAAAAAGTGCAGAAGTAAAGTTTGCTTATTTGGATACATCCAAAAGGCAGTTTCCTTCCTTTCTTCTGCACTGTTTAAAAATGACCCTTTTAGCTAGGTGTGCGCACACCTGTAATTCCAGCACTCGGGAGGCTGAGCCAGGAGGATTACTACGAGTTTGAGGCCAGCCTGGGCTATGTAGTAAAAACATAACAGAAAAATGACCCCTTTTTCGTTTTGTCTGTCTTTCTAGGCAAGCTGTGGATTTCCTTAGCAATGAGGGCCATATCTATTCTACTGTGGATGATGATCACTTTAAATCTACAGATGCAGAGTAACTGATCTCGGAGTACCTGGGACATTTCTGGCTGGACCTATTTGCACAGCCCGTTGCTTCTGCTGTTCGTATGTTTGGCCAGGTGACTTCTAAGGAGGAAGTTCCCTCTAGAAAAGATCTCAGTTGACAACCCTTTGAAACTCTCTGTTCTTCTGTTTTTTGTGTTTCGAAGCTGAAAGGAAAATGAACAAATTGACAGAGATGTAATCCAGGGTGGAACTTCTTAGAGAAGTTTCAAATGACCGCATGAGGACATCGAGATAGGGAAGACTGGAAGAAAGCCCCTGCCGAGGGAGTTGGGCAGTAGTGCTCAGATATTTTTGTTCTTTAAAAAAATGCTTCTTGTTGAGAGAGGGTGAGCGGGACTGAGGCTGTGGGCACAGGGCCAGCCGAGGAGCCGCCGCCTTCCCTGGTTCGTCTCCCGCTCTGTCCTGTGGGGTCACTTTCAGAACTGTCCTCCCTCCTGGCTTTGCCTCTTCTCAAAGCAGGTTCATGTGAGCCTGAGGTTATGGGATACTGGCCTCACAGGACAGGAGGGAAGGAGTGTTACTGCATTTTGTACAAAAGAAATGATCCATATTTTAATAAAACAATTG